ATCCACGCATTCACAAGCTGATGATATCAGATGGCTGATGAAAGCCTTTTTGAAACCTACCGGCTCCACTTAAAAACGTTCCCTCCCGTGTGCCAGATCCTGATCTGGAACCTGGAGATCGGGGAGCCGGTTAAGATGATCGACTGCCACACCGACGTCATCCTCAGCATGTCCTTCAACACGGACGGAAGCCTGCTGGCCACCAGCTGCAAAGACAAGAAGCTGCGGGTCATCGAGCCGCGCTCCGGGAGAGTCCTCCAGGTCAGGAAAGGCTGGTGCATTTATTTAATGGGATTTGGCTGAATAAAAGGGATTCTATATTTTAAAAGATCCTGAAACACCTGCTGTATGAAACCTAAGAGATCAGCATTGGTTCAATCCGAAGAGCCCTTATTATAACAGAAATTTACTTCCATTTGAAGACATTTTAGTATAATATTTTTCAGTTTAATAAATCATACCTCAGTCTAGTACATTTCTTAAAAAAAAAAAGTTCAAACATACTGATGGATTCTTCTTTTGAATAGAAAGCCTTAAGAATCAGGTTTTTAAGAGGTTGACCAAAACAAAACTGAAATAATTTTTACATGTATTGATTGAATTATTCTATTCACCTCTGTGTCCAGATCTTTTTGATGCCAAATAAAATAAAACTTAGGAACTGTGAATACAAGCAGAATTTTTCTATTTCTTTTTTGATAATTGAGCAAAGAAAATAAATTGCAATTAGCTTGATTATTTAGTAACAGGCCAGCAGCTTGATTGGACATAAAAAGAGCACCTCAGAGAGGCAGAGTCTCAGCTGAAATCAGCATGAAACTGTCTATGAGCAGACAATATTAGTATTCCATCATCCAGTGCCTATTTAGCAATTTGATGATATAATTGAAGAGGATATGGCACGAAAAGCGGCTTTATAAAAACAAGGAAAGATGCATTGCAGGAGTAGTTTATTGAAAATGCAAAACATTTTATTTATTTCAACCCTCAATATATCCAGCTGACACTGCTTTATGAAATTTGTAAAAGACCATATTCTGTTTTATTCACTGTAAATTCAGTTAAAAAACAAGAATATTAGCGTTTACCACAGCAGTATCATGTTTATATTTATGTTTATGTTTATGCATTTGGCAGACGCTTTTATCCAAAGCGACTTTAGGGTTAGGGTTAGGGTTAGGGTTAGGGTTAGGTCATACTCAATATTAATATTGTCTCATCAGCACGCCAGCTGCAAAAACCACCGAGTGAACCGGGTGGTTTTCCTGGGAAACCTGAAGCGACTGGTCACCACGGGGGTTTCTCGCTGGAACACCCGGCAAATCGCTCTCTGGGATCAGGTCAGTGAACGCATCTGTGTGATACTCCTCTCTCGCTGTTGAGCTGAGCTCCTTGTGCTTTAATTCCCGGCATGCGTTGCTCTTTCCAGGAGGATCTGTCGATGCCGATCGTGGAGGAGGACATCGACGGCCTGTCGGGGCTGCTGTTTCCCTTCTACGACGCTGACACACACATGCTGTACCTGGCAGGAAAGGTGAGAGCCGGTACTGAACCTCATGAGCGTCTCATCTCAGTTTGTAGCACAAATAAATATCTCGCTTTCATTAATATGAAGAAAAATTCAATAATTCCAATTGAAAAAAGATGGATGCTGAATAAAATGTACAAAAAGGGACAGCTTTTACAGATTTATATTGGTTTAAAAGTCCAAAAATACAAATAAAATACAAATACAAATATAAGAACTAATAAGATTTCTTTATTTGACAACAGAACAGTAATCCATACCTAATATTAATGGTAATTTTACTATATAAGTTTGCTGTGTTCGTAAAAAACATACATGGATTCACAGCTTATAGTCAAATAATCAAATGATTATGTTTATGCATTTGGCAGACACTCTTATCCAAAGCGACTTACAAAGTAGACACAATATTACATTACCTACAGCTACATGATTACCTACAGCTTATACCTTTGACTGGTCAGTTCATTTAGGTTTTAGACAAAGCAGAAGAAGAAATATAAGCTCTGAATGTACATTACATGAGTCCATCCATTCATTTTCTAAGCAACTTCCTCCCAATGGGGGGGTAGTCCCCAAGTTTAAAAAACAAAACACGGTTTATAATGTAAGTCTTTTGCAGGGGGATGGAAATATCCGCTACTTTGAAATGACCACAGAAAAGCCATACATCCAGTACCTGACGGAGTTCCGCTCCCCGGCCCCGCAGAAAGGACTCGGTGAGTCAAGATCTGATCCTCTGAAACGCTCGATTAACGGTCCTCAGAAAAGAAGGGAGGGAATTATCTCAGCTTCTGTGCCGGTTTACCGGAGACGCTGAGAGTCAGGAAGGATAAAAGTCACGGGAGAAAACACCAGTAAAAGCTTTGAAAATGTTTCTCAGTGGAGAAAAATGATCAGAACTACCTTGTCCAGATGTGCAGTTTTGTCTACCAGCTTGTCTGTGTGTGTCTGTGTGTGTCTGTGTGTGTGTCTGTTTCTGTGTGTGTGTGTGTGTGTGTATCTGTTTGTGTCTGTGTGTGTCTGTGTGTGTCTGTGTGTGCCTGTTTGTGTCTGTTTGTGTCTGTTTGTGTCTGTTTGTGTCTGTTTGTGTCTGTTTGTGTCTGTGTGTGTCTGTGTGTCTGTGTGTATCTGT